GGTGATCTGACAGCAAGTGTGAAAAACCAGAGTGCTTTTTTGGTGGGCTTGGGCTATCCTTGCATATAAAAGACAAAACCGCTAATATTGGGATATTTCTGATAATAGTGGGAATTCTGATCACTGTAATCCTGGGAAGCAGTGACTCTGAAGATTTGGGGATCCTGTTGAATATAATTTCTAAGTACAATACTGTGACCAAAAGGGCTGGTGTAACTATGGATTTATAAACTGCAAATTAGTGCAGCATACATATGCAATATTTCCTCTCTATTTTTGGCAGAGGTGTGAGCACTATCAAAATATGGTGTCCAGTCCAATAAGAAGGATATTGATAAATTGAAGAGGATTCAGAGAAGAGCTACAAGAATGATTAAAGGATTAAAGAACTTGCCTTATAGTGATTGAACTCCTTGAATCTATTGATTACCAATGGGAAAATTACGTGGTAAGTTGATCAGTATAAAGTAATTCCACAGGAACAGAATTTTTGAGCTAGAGAGATCTGCAACCTAGTAGACAAATGCATAACAAAAACTAGTAACAGAAGTTGAAGCTAGACAATGTGGCCTACACTACAAGGGAAAGTTCAAGTAAGATATGCAATTTCAGCTACAGAAATGATGTAGCTGGAGAAGACATATCAGGAATCCCAATCCACACAGAAGGAGGTTGATGGGAGCAAATGCTTCCATCAGCTTCTCTTACTCATTGCGAGAAGTAGGAGTACCAACACTGTTGAGTTTGATCTAGTGGGTCTATACCGCACCCACTAAATCAAACGCCAGAATATTGACAATGGCAGCATTAATCTTCTGTGTAGTGTAGACGTGCCCCATCAGGCTACTAATACTTTTTATAAGTGAGTTTGAGAGACCCATTCAAATAACTTACTAAGGTCTGTGGTGGATTCTCGATTGCTGGAATTATGTAAATCAAGATTGGATAATTTTCTAATAGGAATGTTCTAGTTCAAGTATAGGGATTGGGCTTGAAGTAGGAATTAATACAGGGAAGTCCTATGGCTGGCATTATGAAGGAGGTCATACTACATGATGTTCTTTGACTTTGATCTGTAAATCTAATAATTCTCTGTATACTCTCTCATCCAGAGCTATTTTTCTGACTTTTCCCAGAAAGGAATTCCATCTTAGTTCAGAATGACTGTGTCACTCTTACAGATTCTAAAGTCTTCAGTATAGGTTGTGCAGGTTAGAGGAGCACAATACTCTTCTTTGGTGGCTCATTTGCAATATCCCAAGCATTCTAATTAGGTAAAAGAAAAAGTGTACTGTGTATTCCTCCAGTTCTTCTTACTCACAAATTTCTCGACTCCTATTTGCTACTAGAGATGTTCCTGGCTTTGTAGAAATGGTCGTGCTGAACCTTGTGCCTGAATCCCTCCTGAATTACAAAGTAACAATACAAATAACTTGAGGTGATTCAAAGATACTCTGCTCAATCGATTACACATCTCTTAAATCTTTTGGTTCGACTCCTCTCCATTAAATTGGACCACTAAACTACTCCTACAGTCGAACTTCTGTTCCTCCCTCTCCCCCGCCCCGACCTTCTGTGAAAACTATCCTAACAACTTTCCACTTCTTCCTCAATTCTCTTTTCTCAGAAACATCTCCTCCCTAGGTATGTGGGACTTAACTCTCATTCCATTAATACACTGACTTCAGTTGTTTTCAATTTACACCAGTATGAGTGAGATCATAACTCAGCTTTTTGTTGCTTTTCACAAATTTTACAAAAGTCCCTTATTCTGCCAAAAAAATTGGACCAACTTTTGTTCTGTAGATATGCAGGTATAATTCTTCATTAAAAAAACCTTAAATGTGAGGTCCCAAATTTAAAAGTGTTGAATTAATATCCCTTAGTTCTGTGTTAATATAAAAAACAACAGCAATGGCAGCTTTTCCCTGTAAATCCCTCAAATTGTGCTTTATCTCAGGCCCAGAGTAACCACCTCCATTCTCATTAGAGCTTTAGCCTCTCAGCCAGGATTTATAACAAAGTTGCTGTTTTTTAATCTTTTCTTATATATAGAAACTTTTCACCAAAATTTTTAACTGAGACCACCAACTATTTGCACAGTATCCTGTATTTATATGAGTATTTGTGTGCATTGTGTTTTCCTCATGAGTCAAGTGTGAAATGTACAGGGCTTGTACTGGCTTTTCTTCCAAGAATACAGTGCTATAAATAACAGTCTGGTAATAAAATGATTATGGCAAAATATCTCAGGCTGTGTAAAGCACTAAGGAAGAAGGTATTATCAAGGAACAGCATTTCATTGCTGAAACAAAGTCTGTCTGCATTTGTCATGCTCAGTTAAAGGAGCTGATATCAAAACTTATCTTAAATTTTCAGACTCAAGAAAATACTCACACCTTTTGTAATCACAATAGAATAATAATATAATAAATCATTTTTATGAGGACTGTCTCCATTAAATCATGTGAATAATAATTAAATTGTGCAAAGAAGAAGCCTCTGAATTCAATTTCTGCAGAAATCAGCCTCCTGCCCTTTCAAAGGAAGAAAATGAGGGTGGCATGGAGGTGAGACAGAATGAGAAAGACAGAGTCTCTCACACTCTGGTTGTTAGTTTGAAGCTGTGAGATATGCCGGGCAGACGGGGAAGAAAACCAATGTTTATCATTGAGAACCAGAGAAAGGCAGAAATCTGTGCCTAAGTAATAATCAGCAGGCTGATAACAATATTCAGAGTCCTGCATAAATACAAAATTAGCATCTGTCCCAACATCTGTCCACAAAAATGAGCCCCGGATATCTGCATTGACATTCGCGGATGTGGATATCAGTGGATATAAAGCAGATATCAACGGATTTGCAGGGCTCTAACAACATTGACAGATTATTGTTGGAATTGATGTGTGTTGTTTTTGGTTGAGTGGTGTGCAGTTAATCAGAAAAACTCTTTTTCCATTCATCTGGTTTTTCTCTATGTATTAAACAAATGTGTTATACCTCAGTTCAAGCTCTGGGAGATAGGTGTGAGTCGTAGCAAAGCAGTGGCATTAAGTTGACCATCATTGGTGTTCAAAATAGCAATGGCAACATAGAGGCCAAGGACCAAATCAACATGGAGATTGAAATACCCTCCAGATCAGCACCTAAGTACAGTGGGACAAGTGTGGAAATGTTCACTCCACTACTGTCTGTTCACCTCTTCTCTGATACTGCTAGGCTAACACTTCTAGGGTATGTCTACACTACCCCGCTAGTTCGAACTAGCGGGGTAATGTAGGCATACCGCACTTGCAAATGAAGCCCGGGAAATTCAAATCCCGGGCTTCATTTGCAAGTCCGGTATGCCTACATTACCCCGCTAGTTCGAACTAGCGGGGTAATGTAGGCATACCGCACTTGCAAATGAAGCCCGGGAAATTCAAATCCCGGGCTTCATTTGCAAGTCCGGTATGCCTACATTACCCCGCTAGTTCGAACTAGCGGGGTAATGTAGGCATACCGCACTTGCAAATGAAGCCCGGGAAATTCAAATCCCGGGCTTCATTTGCAAGTCCGGTATGCCTACATTACCCTCCTAGTTCAAACTAGGAGGGTAGTGTAGACATACCCCTAATGAGCACTCAATTCCTTTTAGAAATGGAACTGAGCTACTCCTTCTTTCAATGTCACTGAAAGTAGATTTTTTTTTTTAGAAAATATCTAATATCTACTAAGCTTGGTATTTGGAGGAAAAAGTAGGGTTTTAGAACAAAAGAAAGCAAGTTTGATTTGAAAAGTGTTCTCGTCAGCAAACCTGAGAGCACCTGAGTGGTTATTCCACCTCTTGTTAGGTTTAAAAAGAAGTCTTAATTCTTTGGAGGTGGCATTTCTGTTTCAACTGCTGCCACTCTTTTCAATCAGCCATTCTAAATGCACTTAGCCTAGGGGCTTTTGTTTCATTTGATGAGAACCTGTTTTTTTATTCTCTTTTGCTGTCTCCTTTGTCACTGTGTCACCTCACCCCCTGAGGACAATTTTGCTCAGTGTTCCATCTGCTGAAGTTAAAACTCTAACTTGTTCTTTAACGCAGGGAAGGAATTTCCTTTAATCTGAAGACAACAGATTACAGTTATTTTGACCGCCATGCCTAAGGTCCAAATGTCAATTTACATTTGTTTCTGAAATGAGAATTTCTCACTGTCAGTGCGACTCTTAACAATTCCTTATTTACACAGGTAACTAGGAAAAATATCCTGAAAATAATAATTGAGTTTAATATCTAATGCTTCCTACAAAGCCTCTTACCATAAATTTTAATCACAAACACTGTTAGTATTGTGTGTGTGGGGGGGGTCTCTTTATAAAAAAAATCAAGTCTTAAATATCATTACATTGGAATTCTACCATAAAAGCCTCAGTTTCTCAATTTTTCCTTTTCACATAAATTTATTTTAAAGTTGTTTGAAATGAAATATGGTTTGTTTAGTTCCTCATGCTTATCCTGTTTTAGCAATATGCTTCAGTATGTGCTTAACTTTATGATGATAAAGTTCCTGGAACTACTTGAGTCTGATCTACACCTTTCTGTTTGTGCAAATTATCTCTTGTTCTATTGTAAGTCCTAAATAACATAAAATGTTTATATACAGTCAAAGAAAGTATAGAGATTGTACTCCAAATTTAGACGATTACAAAGGATGTTGTTGTTTGCATGTAAATAATTAGTGCACACTATAAGCAATAGAAATTCTGTGGCACAAGAAAAGCTACATTAGCCAGGGTATAACTTTGAAATATTAAGAGAAATACTTTAAAAAGGGGAATCACAATTAATGAAATCCAGTCCTTGAAATGCATCAAACATAAATTTCCTCCAATAAGAAAAGGATCAAAGGACTTTCAGTCCAACACCATCTACTGGATTCCAATGGAAATAGCAGAGAAACAAAGAGGTGAAATCTGAGCACCCACATGACACTTGTCTAAAAGAGAACAGAGGACAATGTCCCTACAATAACTCCTGAAATAAGGATATATGAAGTCAAGTATTAAAGACTGTTGACTGAACCCAATCAGAAGCTGTAGAATCCTTAATGCAACCTATACCCACACCAGCCATATGGAAATTCGCCTCCATCCCATGATTAACAAGATAACAAGAAATGGAAATAATTTGCCTCCATCCTATGATTAAAAGGATAACAAGAAATGGTAAGAGCTAATTTGTAGAACTGAATTTCTTTCACTTCTGTATAAGTTATCTTGCTGGCTCTACATTCTCTAGGGAGACCTCAAGTAACTAAATTTTAGATTTGAAATCTTTTATAAGCCCAAGCAAATTAGTGAAGAAATTGAATAAATTGATCCAAAAGATATAATTACTTAAAGATTTTGGTTTCAAAGAGAAGCAATCACACATCTAAGTTCCTTAAAGGCAAGTGCATTCTTGGACATGTGATATATGTTTTGTACTAAAGAATCTGATGATCATAAGTAAAAGTAATAAGAAATCTTGGTAATTTGGATTGTTCTCTGGTATAACTGCATCTTAACTTCAGTCTGTAAGAATTGCTTGCAAGACTATATGGTGGGAAAGTAACAATATTGGTTGAATCTGCCTGTGAGTGGTGAACTGTTATTGGTATGTTAATGTTGATCTGAATTGACAGACCAACAATTTATTAAGACAAAGTAAGTGTTCTGACCGAAAAGTTAAAAGTTGATCTGAATAGAACCCAGGTTTAAAACTAGTACACTGATGCTTCTTGGAATAAAAGGGTTCTCCTATTGGATTCTCCTGTATATAGGAAAACCTAGTTTGTTAGATTTAAGCTTTACAATGTAAGTAGTGCCCAGGTAAATTCCTAAATGGATCACTCTTTCACACTTAACTTAAGTGGCAGAGACAAAGCCAGGTTTACAATACAAAATTTTGCCAAAATAGCTGTTAGTTTTAAACATGAAAAATCCCACACCTGATGTATTCTGGAAATAAACAAACAGATTCTCTAGGGGTGTGTGCATGTGTGTGCATATGTGTTTTAAAAAGACCAGCAAAAGTACCCTAATATCTGGAGAAACCATTTTACCAGTGTATGTTGTCTCTACTAGAGAGTTTTGCTAGCTTACAGCTATGCTGCTAAAGCTACAGAGGAAAGCCTTACATAAAGTAATCTTTAGAAAATAGCATAAAAGACATCATCTGATTTCGGTTAATTTTGCAGTGTAGTCAAAGACTGGCTGGGATATTTTTAAAACTGAAAATTAGCATTATTGGGAGTCAGAACTCTAATTGCTTTTTGTATATATTAAAACACATAATTTAAAATGGATATTATACGAATGTCCTAGGTGCAGTTTGTGTTTCTTAATCACACATTGCAGAACTAAATAAGAATTTCCATATAATTATTTTATATTTACAGAACAGAGCACTACTTATAAAAGCTTGGTTTAAAAAATAACTGATGACAAGATCTCTGATCTAAGAATCTTACAATTTAACTCAGGCTGTGGCCACATGGTTTGTTCACATTCTTTTTGAATGAAATAGTAAGAAGAGGTCCACATTAGATGGTCAGAAGAGTGGTTGAACTATAAAGCTCTTCACTAATAAAAACAAAAAACAGGTTCAAGCAGTGGAAGAAAGCATGGAACTGTGAGCAGAAGGAAGATAACTTTAAAGTTTTTTATTGCAATCGGTGTTTTTTAAGCAATGCCTCTCTGATGGTTGGTATATACTCAGGCCTGGGATCATAAAGGTTTGGGCTAATTAGCTATGCTCCCCCTATAACGACTGGGAATGCTGATCCACAAAGCCAGCTGGTTTTGACAAGGTACCTCTTTCACCTCATCAATCAAAATTTTTCTTTCTTGAAACACTATTTTCTATATGTGTTCTTCAACATTCTGTGAAAGCATTTGGCAAGGCCATCAGACTGTGAATGGCAGACCAACATTTGCAATGCCTATACTGAGCACCATACACTGATCCTTCATCCATTTCAACACAAATGGATGGAGTCCCCTTGATTTGTCAATCTTCTTGACTATTCCTACCCTAGAGAAGATTTGGTTTAACTCCTTTGCTATCATCTTGAAAATAATGTTTCTTATGCGCATGGCCTCTTGATACTGGGCTGTATAATCCACAACCACAAACTGAACTTGTGATGACTTATTAAGTCACAGGCTATTCTCCTAACAGGCTATTCTCCCAAACAGATCATCAGTACCCAATACTGGTACTAAAGGAGCTCTTAAGGGACATCATGGTCCATGAACTTTACATTCTGGGCAGGAGTCACAACAGCATTAGTCATTTATACACATTCCTCCTCCCCCCAAAAAACCAAACTAACAACCCCCACCTTTGTAGGAGTCTATCAAGGGTTTAAATCCAGCCTTAAATGTCCTTGAACTAATGTCTACGCTCTAGGACTAAAACTGCTTTTTAAGGTACTATAAGCGGCTCCAGTTCTTGCTCCTGAGTCAGTTTTAATCCATAAACTACAGCCATGGACCTTTGTTCCACGCCCCCACATTGTCCCCAGATCCCATTTATAACAGCTTCTTTTCTAATATTGTGGAAGAGGTTCATTGCTTTTGTCCTGCCAAAAATTTGTATATAAGAAACCAATATGTTCAAACTCCAGGGAACCTATTTACATTTCACCCCCATGATTGGTCTCAGACCAATCAGATTTACCACCTATCAAAGTTATAGCTGTCCCTGAATGATGAAACTTTCTGATGTTGGGTGAAGACTTTAGCCCTAATCCTTTGTCTGCCCACATTCGCTCTTCTGGGACTTTCCAGATGCAGAACTCCTGAGCTAATTCAGACAAAATTAGAAGAGAGCTATTTGCTGGGTCTCCAGTATTGTTCCTGGGATTATTGATTTCCTCTGACTCCACCTTGGAAATATTATTTTATGAGTATCAAATACAGACATTCAGGGACCACTCTGACTGATACCCTAATTGTGTTTCCCTGGACTTTTGTATAGGAATGGCTGAGTACTAATTAACTGCCTCATTGCAAAATTATTTCCATGTGTTTCACTTGAGACAGCTGGTTCCACTCCACCAGATTCCTTGACACCAGAGTAATTCCATTTGTTTAGTCTGTTAAGGCGATCTGTATACCATTCATTCTGATTGGCCACATGTATCTATGCAGGCTCTTAGCAAGTCTCACAAAATTGATTAGACCATACAAATCTTCATAATCATCCAGCTTGTACTTCATAGGCTCCTCTATATTAGGTATTTATACATATAGCAGTTCAGCGTCCTAGTTTCAGAACATCTATACACAGCATTCTCCTATTTTGGGGCTATAGGGTCTCAAATTCCAACCATATCTGCCTGATTCTTCAATCCCTTTGTGGCCTCAGGCTGCTTTTCATGGGGCTGCTATAAGGTAGGTACATAATTCATTAGATAACTGTTAAAAGAGTAACTTAAAAAACAATGAATAGTCTAGCAGCACTATAAAGACTAACGAAACATGAAGACAGTATCATGAGCTTTCATGGGCACAACTGACTTCTTCAGATGAATGGAGTTATTAAAAGTTCCACTTCAAAATAAATAGGGGGTGAGGAAGGGAGAAGGAAAAAGAAGGGAAAGGGGGGGGAGAGAAATAATCAATTAGAGTGTTCATGTTACATGAAGCTGATAGAGAAGTTGCAAATTGTTCTTAAGTACCCATCGTATGTTTTTTTAAGTCATTAGGATGTGGAAGGTATTATGCCAGGTAATGTCTTTATTCATATCTCTGTGATGGATCCCAAACATGTAAATTAATTTAAGTACCAAGGCTTCCTTGTGTCCATTAATTCTTTCCTGTAGAGACTGTCCAGTTTGGCCAATACACATGGCAGAGGAGCATTGCTGGAACTTCATAGAATCATAGAATAATAGGACTGGAAGGGACCTCGAGAGGTCGAGTCCAGCCCCCGCCCTCAAGGCAGGACCAAGCTCTGTCTACACCATCCCTGACAGATGTCTATCTAACTTGTTCTTAAATATCTCCAGAGAGGGAGATTCCACCACCTCCCTTGGCAATTTATTCCAATATTTGACCACCCTGACAGTTAGGAATTTTTTCCTAATGTCCAATCTAAACCTCCCCTGCTGCACTTTAAGCCCATTACTCCTTGTCCTGTCCTCAGAAACCAAGAGGAACAAATTTTCACCTTCCTCCTTGTGACACCCTTTTAGATATTTGAAAACCACTATCATGTCCCCCCTTAATCTTCTTTTTTCCAAACTAAACAAGCCCAGTTCATGAAGCCTGGCTTCATAGGCTTCTCTAGACCTTTAATCATTCTTGTCACTCTTCTCTGTACCCTTTCCAATTTCTCCACATCTTTCTTGAAATGTGGCACCCAGAACTGGACACAGTACTCCAGCTGAGGCCTAACTAGTGCAGAGTAGAGCGGCAGAATGACTTCACGAGTTTTGCTTACAACACACCTGTTGATACAACCTAGAATCATATTTGCTTTTTTGGCAACAGCATCACACTGTTGACTCATATTCAACTTGTGGTCCACTATGACCCCTAGATCCCTTTCCGCCATGCTCCTTCCTAGACAGTCGCTTCCCATCTTGTATGTATGGAACTGATTGTTCCTTCCTAAGTGGAGCACTCTGCATTTCTCCTTATTAAACCTCATCCTGTTTACCTCTGACCATTTCTCTAACTTGCTAAGGTCATTTTGAATTATGTCCCTATCCTCCAAAGAAGTTGCAACCCCACCCAGTTTGGTATCATCTGCAAACTTAATAAGAGTACTCTCTATCCCAATATCTACATCATTGATGAAGATATTGAACAGTACGGGTCCCAAAACAGACCCTTGAGGAACTCCACTTGTTATCCCTTTCCAGCAGGATTTAGAACCGTTAACAACAACTCTCTGACTACGGTTATCCAGCCAATTATGCACCCACCTTATCGTGGCCCTATCTAAGTTATATTTGCCTAGTTTATCAATAAGAATATCATGCGAGACCGTATCAAATGCCTTACTAAAGTCTAGGTATATGACATCCACCGCTTCTCCCTTATCCACAAGGCTCGTTATCCTATCAAAGAAAGCTATCAGATTAGTTTGGCATGACTTGTTCTTCACAAACCCATGCTGGCTATTCCCTATCACTTTATTACCTTCCAAGTGTTTGCATATGATTTCCTTAATT